ACCTCATGGGTAGGTACTTCCGTATATTAGTGCAAGCTTCTGTGTTGCATTATAAGTTACCCTATAACTTTCAGATTACAGATTTTATATATGGCTTGTAGTCTGTAATACTTCCAATTTCAGTATTTAGTATTTCTTGTCAATTTCTGATATACAAGCCTGATTTGTATAATTGTACTACCAGCCTGGTGAATTTAGCCATTTCAAGTTTTTATCACGTACCCCGAGTTTCAGCCTTCTCGCTCTGTCATCATGGGTCTTTCCCTAATAGGCCAAGTGGCTTGGGGTCAGAGGTGCTTCTGATTCTAGTTGGGTCAATCCTTTTTCACAGATCGTCCTCGTGTTCTCCACTTTTCTCACTACTCCAGTTATATTACCATTATATTATACTCCCAAGCAAGTACTCCACAAGTTGGATGTAGGGATGTTGGTGCTGCTTCGGTCACCTCTAATCGAAGACTGATATGCACAACTTTCATGTAACAGAACCTTCTATAACTCAGTGTCATGTGTAACACCACCACTTCACAATTGAACCTCCTTCTAGGAATTCTCTTTTTTCTAGTTTCATACTTGCACTTGGACTTAACTATAGAGTTCCGCATTTGATTATAACAAGTCAGATGAGAATCATATTATATCAGTATATTATTTTCTCTTATTAGATCATGTGTTTGGCTGTGAACTTTGCTTTGAGTTGATAAATAGTCAAATAACAGCAATCAGGTTTACAACACCTTTACTTAATGCTAAGAATAATCAGAGTGTTACTGAAGTCTATTATGATGTGATCTACAAGACTGCAAAAAGAAAATTCGAGTTATATAGACTTATTGGTAGTTTTGAAGGCTCAGAATACCCATTAGCATATCTTATTTTAGATACTACAGATAGAATAGGCAATTTTTATATATTAGTATTAATAATATCCTGATCTGTTGAGAATTAGCAGAAATGAAATTCTGCTTATTTACATGCAGTCAGAATGTTATTAATTAATACTCTTATGATCTTGATATTAATACTCTTGTGATCTTGATATAGTGATCAAAGATTATTATAATAATATATATATGAATAAATGATTCATATTATTTATATTTTTTTTTGCTTATCCTAATTACAGAAGGTTCTAAAAGTAATTCACAAAATGAAAATTGAATGTATGCACTCTCAGGTTTTTTTAATTCAATCTATAGCTGAAGTTTATATCCTAAGTATTTTTATACAAATAAAGATTTTGCTGAAATAAATTTAGTAAAAATCATTTGGGTTGATCTTTAGTATAGGTGGGTATATATAATTATTATACAATTATAATATATAAAACTTGACTATTTTGAACTAATTTAAGTAATTTTATAAATTATTAGGGTCAGGGTTAAGGTTAGAGTTTAAATTAGCTCAAATTAGTTAGATTTTATATATTATAATCTTATAATAATTTATATATGTCCACTTATACTAAAGGAGATCCGTTACTTGGCTTGAAACAACTATACAACTGTGCCTGTAGCACATGAAAAAAGCACTGAGTTTAAAACTTAAGAGTAAAAAAAAAGTTCAACGTATCCATTATCAAGTTAAGGATGCAATTGCAGAATTCGACTTTATTGATCTAAAATTTAAACCAAATTTGGAAAATTATAAACCAGATTCTTATAAAATCTGGTTACAAAATCTTAGACAATATATTCTTAATCTTGTTAAAAAACACTTTAACTTGTATCCCAAAATTCCTTCAATGCAGATGGTTAGTTTTTAACCTCTGATAATATTTGAAACAGCGCAGTACATGAAATTTATGATTTTTGTTTTACTAACAAACTTCCTCTATTATAGATGTTATGGTCCTTGTGGTATAAAATGGAACAGTAGTGCCTCTGAGTATGCTCAACACAGCCAATGATTCTATTAGAAAAACTAACATGCTTATAGAGTTATACTGGAAGGTACTTAAGCACTGTTATCTTTATCATTTTAATTGATCTAAACTAGACTATTTTGTATAGATCATTTGCTTATATGTAATTCCTGATCAAGTAAATCATTTTTAGCAAATGTATTTTGGTCATGTAATTCTATCATGGTTTAATGATTTTAAAAAGGAATGGAAACGGCTTGCATCAAAACCAATTACTGATAGTGCTAAAGAAAATTACAAAACTGATTTACTGAATTAGATGTATAGCTGCCTATCATTCTTTAATAGCTATTTTTTGATCTGTAAACATTTAATTCACAATGCAATTAAACATGCAAAAACATATGATTTTGAGGGTGTCCGTTTAGTATATTCTAATTTTAAATGACATACAGATTGCCTATTTTTAATTTGGGATAGTAATGGTAATAGAATACAAAACTCACCTTTTAATATCTGTATGAGTACCAATACAAAATTCTCAATACAAAAAAATATGTTAAGAATAATTTTCTTGAAAATGTGAATGATGAAAATATTGACCCAGAGCTTTGTCAATATTGTAAATCTAAAATAAGTGCATTAGAACATCTTGTGAAACACTTAAATAATGAACTTAACGTTCTAAATCATTAGTTGAAAAATCAACTAGTTGCCAACTTTCCAACTAGTTGATTTGAAAAAATTTTAAACAACTAATCGATTAATC